TCATCACCACCATCACCACCATCATCATCACTGTCATCACCCTCATCACCGTCATCACCCTCATCACCACCATCATCATCACCATTGGCGTGAACATCACTCTAGTCATCACAACCATCATCATCATCATCATTGTTATCATGAGCATTGCTGTGGTCCTCATCATTGTCACCAACATCTTAATTGTCATGAACACTGCTCTTGTCCTCAGCAGCAGCATCAGCCTCACCTTCACCATTCTCATGTAACCTAACTTCCATCATTGGAGAGCCGTGCACACTGCGCCAGGAAAAATTGGTACATTCTTGTATACTTTGGCTTATTAGGCTGAGACATGAAGTAGAAACAATCAAGTATCAAGGGGTCTTAGAATAGATATTCGTAGCCCCTGACCCCATAGCAAGAACTTGGAATGCAGATCCTTAGATGCAGCCTTGTCTAGCAGTTGCTAACTTTTGGACCCAAGACATGTACCCCAAGCTCTGTGAGCTTAAGTTGTCTCATCAATGAAATGGGATAATAATAACAATATTTGCCTTCGAAGTTGTGATTTTCACATTATATCCTTATTAATATCTCAGTTTTTCCAGGAGAAGAAACCAAGTCACTTACACAAGGAAGGATGGGTGCTGACTGACAGAGTCTGAACCAGGGTCTTTCTGATGAGATAATTCATGCCCCAAACCACTTGTCTACACGGCCTCCATCATTTGAGACATCACACGTTAACACTCTATGTTTAAAGACTCACAATACATTTCTGAATAAATCTGCTGAAACACGCAGACAGTATTTCTTCATTTGAGATGGACTTTAGAGAAAGAGTTTCTTTAAAATAAAGTTTGTTTACAAACTGCTTTCTAATATATCAGCTATTCTCAGCTGTAGTAAACACTTATTGTTTCTCTTTCTCCTATAAATAATTGATCTAAAACTATTTATAAATGGCATTGATATGTACACACACAGACAAGAATCATTTGTGCACTCTTAGACACTATCCCTAAATCTCTCTTTAATCTGGAATCATCTTCTACAGTTAACTTGCTCTGAAGAAATAATAGAATTATCTATAAATATCACTTCTTCCTTCCAAACGTTTATGAGTTAATTGCACAAACACCAACTGCAGAAGCAATTGTTTGCGAGGGTAAACCCCACAGGAGTTGGAGGGGGCTTAAGTGCTGGTTGATGAGATGGAGAAGGTCTCCAAGAGGACCTAGGTATTGAGAATGATCCTGGGTAGAGTGGGAGAGGATGACTCATTTCTGGGGTTAGAAAAACATTAACATTACCAGGTTTGGAAAAATACAAATATCTCATGAAATCAAATATTTGTTTGTATGTGGAATAATAGGAAATCTCATTCAGGGCTGTGGAAAGGGATTGGCACTCATATGAGAGAAATTACCCACCGTTGTGACTAAGGAATCCTATTCGTGGGTCCCACTGCCCAGGACTCATCCTCTCTCCTGCCTTCCGCACACCCTGAGGCTCATCTCAGCTGTAGTGACCTGTCTGATCTCTGTTGTTATTTCTGTTTTCTCCCTGAGCTCTAAGGAGTTTTTTTTTTTTTTTTTTAACTTAACCATGTGTGACATGCATCAAAGCACTGATATGTTTGTCTCTCTTTGGAAAGTTACAGAGGGCATTACTTTGAAGTGATTATTTCAGCGGAAATTCTGTTTTCATAGTTACCAAAATGGGCTGTGTGACAGAAACAGCGGCAATTCCTGAATCCATCTTAGTACATCAAGGTGGGTTCTAAATATAACCTATTTACTAGCACAAAAGAATACTTTAATTATGTTTTTTTCTCATTCACAAATACTTATAATGCGAAAGGGTGAATATTTGATTAGGGAACAGGATGGGAGCACAATAGGTGTCCAGCATGATGCTTGGTGCTGCCCAAATCAGGTAGAGGTGGGCTTTATATTTCAACAGGAACTTCCTAGGATCCAACAGAAAGAAATTATCGTGCCCACTTGAAAGATTCACAGTGATGACAAGGTGAGAGGAGACCACTCGTTCTGGAAAAGCAGTGTGGCTGCTGCCCCTGGAACCTGGAGATGTAGATGGTCTCCAGTGTGCCTTTGTGAAGCGGTGATGGGTGGTGTGTGGGAACAGCTTGAACATTTCTGACCTAAGAGGGGTTTTAATTTGCTATCCTTGGGTTTAATTTGCTAAACCTTCTGAGTTACCTGGAAACACAGAATTTGGTGTGTGGTCATCTGGAAACATAGAATTTGGTCATTTTCGTGGAGCTAAATATCCAGAGCTCTGTTCAAGGCCTGTGAAAAATGTGCCTCGCAGACCAGGAGCTGTCAGTGAACTTGGTGAAATGCAGAGTCCTGGGCCCCATCAGACTCACTGAAGCTGGAACTCGAGAACATTAGAATGTCTCTATCTCTACACACACACACACAAACCAATTCACTTATCTGTTTGTGACAATTATCCCTTAATTCAATTAAAAACAAAATATAGTGAAAATCAATTTAGCAAGAGGCAATTCCACAGAGGGGCCCCATTCAGGCGGCTCAAATATATCACTCTCCAGCAGTCTGTTTTGATCCAAGGGTAAAATGTAAACCAGCCAGGGGAATTTATGGACTCCATGTCCTTCAGACAATCCTCCATAAATATCATTTCTCCCCACTGGGCATTTCAGGAGGATTAGAAAACAGAGTTCTTTTTTCTTCACTGACAAGAACCTATAGGGCAGAAATTCAGTGTCTCAACTAAGGACAAAGCCATTTGATTTGTTAATCAACTGGGCAGAGGACAGGATTAAGGTTTTATTCTCTTCTTTCTAAGAACTCTGCCCCACTGAATGGTCACCACCCTGCCTGGTACCAAGGTGGGTCAACAGATGTTGTACTTTGGGAATAGCCTGGTGGACCTGAAATATTAATGTGAACACAGAACACTGAGGCAGCCAGGCCCCCCCAAGAGAGGACGCCACCAGCCCCTGCTGTCACGAGCGGAGAGGCTGCTCGCTGGCCCCCAGGCAGCCTGGGCTCCTTGCATAATGCCCACTTCTGGGGGGGGGGGCGTGGGTCCTTGGATGTGGCACCATCTGCGGCTATCAGCCCAGTCATGCAGAGGACCCTTTGCTTCCTGGAGCATTTTAATTTGGAATTTCAGGTATCCTTAACTGGACAGAGGACCTGATTCCATATTGTGGAGAAGCATATGTACGTGCTCTCAGACTCATTGACACGTGCCCTCACTCTCCCAGGACACTAAGTGTGCTTCTGAAAACCACATACCTCCTTGCGATTCACAGTACTGCCACCAGAGTTTTTTGTCACCCTCCGCACCTTGAATCGGTTCATGAAAAAGTAAATTTACTCAACTTGTTTGTTTCCAAAGGGGAGTTCAGTTACGGTGAATGCGCTTAGCATTGGAGCTCGGCTCCTGCCTCCTCACCCTGCCCCCCTCAGGCATCACAGCCGCCTGCCTGGATGTCACTTTGTGCATGGAGTGATTTTAGGGTAAAGTCCAGTTTTTGAGGTTTAAATCACCTATTTTCTAACCTGTATTATTTTAACATTTATTTCTTCTCACAACCACTGTGAGAAAAAGAAACGGGATCGCGTTGTCTGGTTATTGCATAAAAAAATCTGTAAGCATGCAAGAAGGAATTATTTTTCAATAAATTTTGTGAGATGCCTGCATTTTGGATAGATCTCTGTAATAGATGCCATATGGTACCATTTCTTTTCTCTCACCACTTTATTGATTTCCTTATTTTTTTCTACTGCCATCTAGCATATCATCGTAATTACGTTTTAAATAACTTTTGGAAAAAGCATTAAGAAAAAGCAATGGGACTAGCCCTGAACAGGCACGTAACGAGCTCAGTTCCATATGAAGCTTACAAGGAAAAGCACAAAGAGTAAAGAGCGTATCTCCACCATTTAGAGCTTTATCAATTAAATTACTTGCC